GTGGGACTCGATCCCGGGACTCCAGGATCATGACCTGAGCCGAAGGCAGTCGCCCAACCAACTGAGCCACCCAGGCGCCCTATAGGTCTTCTTCTTTAGAGAAGTTAAGAACCTAAGGGTGTAGACCTTCTTCTGAGCCGTGGTTTTTCAGATGGGTCTTTAAATCTGAGCTCAGGGAAACCCGCAAATGGAGGTCGTGTGAGAAATGCCAGAAACACAGTTAATCTGGAGAGAAACAGGATAAAGGAAGAAGGCGAGGGGCTTTTCAGTCTAACTAACCATATTCCAGACCAGATTCAAGAAACCAGCGACTAAGGAGAAGGCCACTGAGATCCTTGAGCATGTCCAGTAAAGGTGATATACCTCACCCCCTGAGGGCAGCCTGCACCCATCCCTCACCAGCGGGAACGAAGCTCCCTCTGCACTAATCCAAGGGTGAGAGCCTGTCAGGACAGAGTCTACAGGCGTGACACCTTTCCCTCTCACCCTGGCAGGACATAGGCACATCTCTGCATGCTGATCAGGAGCATCTGTTCATCTCCTCTCCTCTCAAAATAGTTCTCAAAAATATTTGGTACTTTTTCCTTCACTCCTATCTGCTATTTACTGTAGTTTTCCATTTATGGAGCCCTGGTTTAATTTCACTTTTTTTTTTTTATAGCAATGTTTTAATTTGGGCTTTATGGGCTCTAAAAATATCTTGTCAGGATATCAAAAGTAACACCACAGAATGGCAAACTTTAACTTCAGAGCATGTTTCTAAACAATTTAATGATATGCAAGCTTCTGAGATGGTGTTAAATTGCTGGGCCTAATGATTTCCACTTGCCTCTCTCTGGAAAGTGTTCTTTCCTAAGATGGGAGGCAGGGAGATGCTCAGGAGAAAATTGTATGGTCAACGAATATTGGAGCTGGGAAGGATTTTGGAGAGGAAAAATGCCACCCCTATATTTGCTACAAGTCGGGTGGGAGGCATGGGGTGGCGGGGTGATAGACCTTGGGGAGGGTATGTGCTATGGTGAGTGCTGTGAATTGTGCAAGACTATTGAATCACAGACCTGTACCTCTGAAACAAATAATACATTATATGTTTAAAAGAAGAAGAAGATAGTAGGAAGGGAAAAATGAAGGAGGGCAAATCGGAGGGGGACACGAACCATGAGAGACTATGGACTCTGAGAAACAAATAGGGATCTAGAGGGGAGGGGCGTGGGGGGATGGGTTAGCCTGGTGATGGGTATTAA